TACCCTCCTGCAGCTGGAAAGGACAAACTAACCTATGCCCAAAATAAAAATCGCTTGTGGTGTTTAGTACGTGGGCATTCATTAAATTGCCTTTGCTCCATACAGGGGGATGTGCCGTCTCTCTGATTCAGGGCGTATTTCCTTTTCCCTCCCTATTGGTTTTGTAACATTACCTAGAGACAACGAGTTTCTTTTAACGGGATTCAGGGAAGACTGACTCCTATTGGTTTGAGGCTTGGTATTACACCATGGCGAGTTCCAGTGTCTTGTGTTGGCAGCTAGAGTGGGATAGTGCTGGCCTTAGTCTGTAGGAGAGGCTGTTCTACATGTGTGTGAATGGGGCCAATAATGGAGGGCGTTGTGTCCGTGTATGTGCCTTGGAGGGGTGGGAATCAGATCTTGTGGAATTAACGGGGGGGGGGGGGGGGGGGGTTGAATTCAAACGATTGTTAGCTAGATCCTCACATTAATTAAACCGTACATTCAACTGAACAATAAAGAGGACTTGAAGTTAGATGCTGCTACTGGGTAGTTGTCCTTGGGTGAAGCTTTTCTTCGTATTTGACTAAGATGTCATTTAAATATAATTACTACTGAACAATTGATTTTTGTTTTGCAAGACCCTAAGCATTGCAATCGACGGTTGACAATCTATAATTTGAAATGTCGGTGTTAAAATCGAAACAAGATTTCCTTAAATCTTCGCTACAGCAATATTTGGATACCTTGGAAAGCAAAAGAGAAAAAAAAGCATGATTAGGGGAGATGGGAGGCACACATTCTATGATCCGCTGTAGTATGAATATCAAATTCCTGGCTAAATAAATTGGTTGTTTATAGACACCCACACATCGCACAGAGAGGGCATAGCGCTAAATAAATAAAACATTAAATGCTGGAAATCAGAAACAAAAGGTCTGAAAGCAATGACAATGCACACAGCAGGGCAGTCAGACCCTACAGAGAAGGTTCTTATAAAGCAGAACAGGTCAGGACGGAAAAGATTGATGATTTATCCTTGGGGACTTCATTCTGTGAAGGTTGGGCTGCCACCTCCAAATCCAGCAGAAATTTCTGCTTGCCTAGGTTCTACAAATAGCCAGATGAGCGTCTCCTCGGTGTTGCCGCTTCTCTCCTTCGCATGGTCAGTGCATCTAGTTGAAGACTTGCTAAAATTAGACAAGTCTCTCTCTCTCTTTCTTCCCCCCCACCCCCGGCGTTGTTCAAGTAGCTGAGACCAATCCGGCTTGCCTGCGGCTCGGATTTCACTATAAGATCTGGACTGATCACCTTGTGAAGCTCAGCAGACTCGATTGCCTGTTAAAGCCACCAGGGATCCTCCCTCCATCTGCTTCACTTTGCGGTAAGATCCTCAAGCCACCAACTTCATTCCCCTTCTCTTGGCGAACTTTCTTACAATCATGGCCCAACGTAACCCAGGTTAGGGAGCTTTAAACAGGAAGGGGGTTTAAGATTCACGATGGTATTAATATTTAGGTGAGAGGCTGGTAACAGATCGAGGTCCCATCTGTTTAAAGAGACTGCTGCCTGGTCTCTATGGCCACCGTTCCCATCAGTTACTAACACACTGTGAACAGTCAGGTTACCGGATTAACGGTTTTAGCTGTACCCGTTCGGCTGCTTTGTGTTTGACCTGTGTGGGATCATCCTCAAACTACTCCTTGGGCTGTTTCCCTGGGCGGCATTGGTCTGAAACAGGTTGTTTTTTTTTCACAAAAGTGGAACATTTTCTGGAAAGAAGTCCGGAAGAATGCGCGGTGATAGGATTTTCCATCTTTTTTTTCTGAGATGAAGCCGATTGACACAGTGAGCCCCGCTTTGAGAATGCAATGATAGGGTCATGGGGCCGGCTACACTCATTATTTCGGTGGGGCTGTGCGTGTCAGGTTCCCTGCGACAGGTCACTGTGAAATACGTGAACGGTCTCATACGGTGCCGGCGCTCGGGAGCTGGTTTGAAACAGAGCCGATTCTGATTGAATTTGTAACAAAACAATTTGTAACAAAAACAATGGCTCATTCCTCGAAAAGAAAATTGGCATAAAACATGTGTATCCGGGGGGGATAAAAGTGAAGAGAATCTGGGGAAAGAGAGGAAGGTAACTGGGAATAAAAAGATCGATCAGGCGAGATGGACTGAGAGCAGAGACAGAGAGAGGAAGAACCACGAGGAAATTATTTGGGGTATGGAATATTAGTTTTAGCTTTACAGTGAGGATAGCACTGCCTTACCATCTCTCCCAAATCTTGGCAATCTGTAGAGATCCCAAGAGCTCAGAAAGTTAATTACTTTAAACGTACGTAAGGGTTTTAGCGAAATACAAAGTTCATTAGTAAGAACAAGACACGGAATAATTTGGAAAGATTATTAGCGTTGTGCAAATTAGGCTGCTGATGGGGAACTGTGTAATGTTCTTGCTGGAAATATGCGGGGTTTTAATCTAATTTATTTCATTAACATTCGCACCTTACATTAGCTGTGGCATTAATGAGAAATGAGATTGAATCCACAGCCAGGGAATGACTGCAGCTGCTGGCGGACCGTGGCCCAGGCGCGGATTACCTTTCGGGACAGTGAGAAGCCATCGCCTAATTAGGAAGGAGAGCTGCGTCTGTGAGAAGTTATTTCAGAGACCCTTAGAAGCTGAAGACGTAGAAATAGGATCTGGCAAATGCGGGCGCAAGGCATTCTCAGCTGTTGGCTTTGCGGCCGATCTCCTTTTCTAAAGACGGTTCCATTTATAAATGTGTCCATCCATTGCTCTTTTCACCTGAGTAGCCCGAAGATATGATCGCGAATAGAGCAATATGTGTGTCTCTGTGTGTGTGTGTTCGGAGGGTTCTGCACTGATCCCTGTCCAAAGAGAATGTCTGTGCTTGTATCTCTCCGGCTCTGACAACAGCACTTAGAGAAAGCCTCTTATAACCCTAGCAGGTTTCAAAGAACTTTGCAGCCAATTAAGTCATTTAGTAGTTGTTCTGGTGTAAGGAAACAAAATGATAAGTGGAGAAATTTATTTGGTTTGGATTTAATTGCGTCCATTTTCCATATCAGTACATCTATTATATTGGTTTCTATATCAATGATACCATCAAAATACACCTTGAACGCACATTTTCATATACTGTAGGAAATTTAAGATTTTTATATTGTTTTCATATACCGAGATTGTTTTAGGGGTGTTGTACCATAAGAACATGTAATAATCAACTCAAGTATTAGAAAACGTTTTCTTTTGCTTTTTCTCATTCAGTTCTGTACCTGGGGTACACAAAACCAGCAGGTGCCAGCCGTCTTTCCTCTATGTTAGATCTTAGTCAGGCCTTGACTGCCATGCCCCTACAGTTACACAGATCCCCACTTCTCACGGTAGAACGAGCAGAGTGCAGGGTCCCAGAGGCAGGTTAGTACAGTACCCCAGCAAGAACCGATATTATCAGGTCAAACACCAGGCAACAAGCCAAAGAAATATAATTACGTCTGCGGGACGAGGATGAAAACGGATTTCCTGCCATCTTTCCAATGATGGACAGAAAAGTGCTGAAGAAACTCAGCAGTTATATCGGACTCAAAACACTAAACCTGTTTCTCGCCCTCTCACATGCTGCCAGACCTGCTGAGTTTCTCCAGCAGTTTTCTGTTTTTATTTCAGATCTCCCCGCATCCGCAGTGCGCTGCTTGATATTAAAAAAGGAGCCCGTAATGTTAAAGCACACTTGAGTTGTCACGGAAAGCGAATTTACACAGAATCTTCCGTCCTAACTTCAGCGGAAGGGAAGCGAGAACGGCGTAAACGCTACAGGCCATCTATGCTAAGATAACA